ATTAGTGCCAGATGTGAAGAAGCTCTAAAACTGACATTTCCAGAAAAGAAAAAGAAATTACTTGAAAATGGCTGTTGCTATCGATGTTTGAGGCACGGACATTTGGCAAGGAAATGCACCATGTACTCAAAACTCAAGTGTGAGAAGTGCGGTGGTAAACATGTACGTGCACGAGTGAAGAAGCCAAGAATTTTAATTCTAGTCAAATAACACAAATTAAAAATCCATCTTCAAAAAAAGAATTCAAGCCAGCACCTACAACTGGATTGACAAACCAGACCTATACCCATGTATTTTTGCAAGTTTTAGCTGTTAACATAGTACACCAATATCAATCTAAAAGGGTTCGAGCACTTATAGACACTGGGTCTCAGAAATCCTATATTTTAAGAAAAACAGCAGTTGATATGCGGTTAGAAGTTTTAAGACAAGAAGAGATGATACATGCTCTCTTTGGTGGTTACCATACTATAAACCATACTTGCTATGAGACACATTTATCCAGTTTAGACAATCAGTATTCTTGCTCATTTGAAACTTTCGATCAACCTGTCATTTGCGGAAACATTATTTGCGTTTACGATGGTCCCTGGTTACAAGAAATGGAAAACTTAGGTTTAACTATAAATGATAGTGAAGATGGTCCAATAGAGCTCTTACTTGGGGCAGACATAGCTGCAGAACTATATACTGGAAAACAATATGTTTTATCCTGTGGACTAATTCTTATGGAGACAAAACTGGGATGGGTCATTATGGGCAAAGCACCGATTCATGCTACTACTCTAAGATCAAGTTGTATACTTATCACCACTATGTTAGTAAATGACCAAAAGATGACTGATTTTTGGAATCTTGAACTTCTTGGTATAAATGATCCAGTGAAAGAATTTACCAGAGTTGAAGCCGAGAAGGCAGCAATGGAACATTTTATTAATACTGTGAAAAGATCAACTGATTCCAGATATGAAGTAAGTCTCCCGTGGAAAGAAAACCACCCTTCCCTACCCACCAATCTTCACATTGCCAAAAAAAGATAAAGTTGGACAAAGATGGTTATCGTGAAGAATATAATCGAGTCTTTCTAGAATGGCTAGAGGAAGGGATTATAGAAGAGGTTTCTAAAGAAGACTACCAACTTAGAGGACACTACCTACCTCATCGTCATGTTATAAAACTAAGTAGTGCCACTACAAAATTGAGGCCAGTTTTCGATGCTTCAGCTAGAGAAAATGCCCAAAGTCCATCTTTAAATCAATGTCTGGAGAAAGGAATGAACTTTATCGAATTGATACCATCCATTTTAATTCGTTTTAGACAACATAGATATGGAGTAATCTCAGACATTAAAAAAGCATTCCTTCAAATTAGTTTAAGGCAGCGTGATAGAGACTGTCTAAGATTCCTATGGTATACTATTGACGGTGAATTGAAAATTTACAGACAAACCAGGGTTATTTTTGGCCTGACTTGTAGCCCATTTTTACTTGGTGCAGTCATTCAACATCATCTTAAAAACGTACTAATCGAAAATCCAGGGTACACACATCCCTTTCTCACCAATCTTAGTAAGAGTTTTTATGTTGACAATAGTATAGTCAGCTTTGACCATCGAGAAGAAATAGTAAAATTCAAAACGGATGCTCAAAATGCTTTTATGGAAGCACAGATGGTTTTAAGATGTTGGGAATTTACTCAAGAATAAAACTCCACAGAAAAAGCAGCCTTGACATCAGTACTCGGTTTGAAATGGAACAAGTTCGAAGATACTCTTGAAGTTTCATTACAAGGTTTGAAAACCAGCTCAGTTACAGAAAAACTTACGAAAAAAATGATACTTTCAACAGTAAGCAGAATTTTTGATATAATCGGATTTGTTTGCCCAGCTTTATTGATTCCGAAAGTACTGTTGCAAAAATTATGTAAGCTTAAGTTATCATGGAATTCTGAAGTCCCAGATGATATTAAAAATAGATTTTTCGATTGGCTTAAAGATGTCCAACTTTTAGCCAATATAAAAATACCCCGATGGATTCGTCCAAATGTCAAAGAAGAGTGCGAACAAGAGAGTTTGCATTTATTTTGTGATGCCAGCCAAGAAGCCTATGCTGCGGTAATTTTTATTCGAACTGAATCTATGAATTCAACACACATCAAGCTCATCCAAGCTAAAAATAGAGTATCCCCAATTAAGACGATATCAATTCCACGTTTAGAACTCTTAGCTGCCACAATAGGAGCCAGAATGTTGATGTCTGTAAGGAAAGAATTCGATGATATGTCCCTGTTTATTGCTGGACCGACTCTTCTACAGTTTTAAGTTGGATTAAACGAAATGAAACTTGGAAGCCTTTTGTGAGAAATCGTATATCAGAAATACACAAACTAACCAAAGAAGAATTCTGGTAACACGTTCCAGGATCTATGAATCCGGCAGATCTACCTTCCAGAGGTTGCTTACCCAAGAAACTACTGGAAAGTAAATGGTGTAATGGCCCCATATGGTTACTAGAACCCACAGAGAAATGGCCCAATCAAACTTACGTTATAGACGAACAAACTATTTTAGAAGAGAAACATAAAGGAGTTACATCATTAATTATTCATAATAAAATTGACAATGGTTGGTTGACTCATTATTTTACGCGTTATGAAGATATTTTGAGAATGGTTGCTTGAAGAATTTGATACACTTTAAAGATGAATTTGGAATTATCAGAATAAAAACGATGATAAGCGAAAGAGAAGATAGACACTTTTTTAGATATCCAGCTGTACTGCCAAAGAATCATATTGTTGTGGCACGCCTCATTGCTGATCGACATGTTAGACTATTACACGCTGGAGTTCAAACTGTCTTAGTAAGTCTAAGAAAAGATTACTGGATTCTTGGAGGGAAGAAAACCGTCCGCTCTGCACTTTCTAAATGTTTGATTTGTAAAAAACAACTAGCAAAAAAGCTTCAAGCACCTAGAGATCGAGTCAGAGACGCATCCGTATTTGAAGTGATAGGAATTGATGCCGCTGGACCATTGTTTGCTAAAGACAAAGGAAAGATTTGGATTTTAATTTTTACCTGTGCAATCTATCGAGCTGATTACATCTATGTCCACCGATTGTTTTTTATTGGCTCTTCGTCGCTTCATTGCCAGACGAGGTCGACCATCCATAATCTACAGCGATAATGGTACCAATTTTGTTGGAGCAGAAAATGTCTTTTCTGAGCTAGATTGGAACACAATTTGCAAGAAAAGTACTGCTGAGCGAATCAACTGGAAATTTAATCCTCCTTCATTAAGAAAGATTTTGGGTAAAGCTACCCTCACTTATGAAGAACTAACGACTATCATCTGCGATTGCGAGGCAGTTGTCAATCAACGTCCCTTAACATATTTGTCCGAAAACCCAGATGATTGGCAACCGTTGACTCCTGCAATGTTTCTGCACGAAGTAGCAGAAGCAGGAGTACCAGATATGGACCAAGTAGAAGCCCAGGATTTAAGACGCAGATATAGATATCGACTAAGACTGAGAGATGAACTAAGACGTAGGTTTAGAAACGAATATTTAAGTATCCTTGCTATAAAGAATAGGAAAAAACCAATTAAAAGTATAATTCCGAAAGTTGGAGATTTAGGCTTAATAGAGGATGAAAATTCCAAAAGATTTATGTGGCCTTTAGCCAAAATTCAAGAAGTGTTCCCTGGTAAAGATGGTTTTGTGAGATTATTACGTTTGAGAACGGCTTCTGGGAATTCGATCTTAAGGCCAATTCAACGTTTTTACCCTCTAGAGATTGGAGAACCAGAAGAAATCGAGTCCATGCAGCAGAAGGTTTCAAACAAGAAAGTTCAACCTGCACAGCAAGGACATGAGAACTCCCAATCAACGATTAAATTTCACAATCCTTGCTCCACAGTTTCTGATCCCGGCCATGACGCAAATGAAAATAATGATTTTGATAACCAGTCCGACAAAGAGGACAATACAGGCAAAGTTACCCGATATGGAAGGAGAGTTAAACCCCCTATACGCTTTTAACAGTATAACTGAATTTCAAAGAAATCATTTATCTGGGTAAGAGAATGAAGAGGTTTCCTGCACATTTTCAATTGATACGCCTATGAAGCGGTATTCTTTGATATTTTGATTTAATTATTTTGTAATAGTTACCGTAATTTTTGAAAAACCGTCAAGATTAATTTTTATGATATTTTTGTCAAAGTTATATATATTTTGTAATATATCTTCAATAAAACATTTTGAAGCAGTTTCTCGACCGCATTAGATCTTTACTTTAGTAGGTTATACTAAAGAAAGCAACAATGCTGGATATATTAAAATTTTCATTTTAACTACAAATAAGCATTGAAGGATGAGGTATAAATAATAAAATGTCTGCCTCTGAACCTGTACTACGTTCTGCAAATTAAATTACTGCACTCCTTTTTTCTTTAGACTATAAGTTTGATGTTTTAAAATGGATGAATTCTAGAGATTAAAAAAAGATATTTTGTTTTAAAATTTGTTGACCTCTAGCGGCCAAACGAAGCTAGTTGGTGTATAGGTTAAATCAACTTAATTTGACCTCTTAAATATATGGTAGCTACATGTACACACAACTCCCGGACACCCTGTGTAATTAAATTTGTTATAATTAGCTTTGCTACATAACCTGTCATACTATTGAAACATTTCTTCTATTTGTTGAAAGGATTTCAAGTACCTAAATTACTGAAACACTAAAAAAATTGTTTATTTAGAGAAAAAAGAGGCTTCTAGCTGTTTATAGTAGATAAGGAGAATTTTCCCTTTTCTACAAAATATGATCATTACAGGAGAGTAGTATAAATAACTGCACTCTTTTTATCTCCTTTATATTACTAAAAATCTACACCCCTGGAAGACATTTCGTCATTTCGTATCAAATTTCATATCTAATGTACGCCACTGTTAACTAAAAAACTTATCGCAACGATCACATAAATAAAAACAAAATAAAAACACTTTTAACTAGCTGGCTTCCAAACCATCCTTTACTCAAACAAATTTATTTTATTTTGTATCGGCATCCGTTGGGAAAAGAAAACTCTCGCCCTGTCCTGCGTCTGCGTTTCGACGACCTAGATATGGATTTTCCCTACTAACCACCTAGAGCGGATTCAGACCTGCCATGTGAAAATCTATCGAAAATATTTGTAACGAGTTTTTAATTATTTTCAGTGCGAATTTTTTGTTTTTTAAAATGTTTTATTGGAAAAATGCGATAGTGACTGTATTTTTGTGCTTTTGTACACTGAGTTACGGTGGAGATGAAAATGTCGTCGACAGGAATAGGGAAAATACCGCAAAGCAGCACCCTGAGCTGTCAAAATTGTAAGTATTTATTTTTTCATTATATTAATCATTTATATTTTATTTTAATACAACAAATTGAATTTTTATAAAATAAACCTTTAATCCGAATACTTTATAGAAATCTTCTAGAAACACAAGTAAATAATGTTATTTTTAAAAGCTTGTCTGATGCTGGCCCCCAAAATTCTAAGATTTTAGTTTTAAAAGCGGCATGTATTGGATCGTGTATTTACCATGTTTGATCTCCATGAGGCTGAAGCTAGCAGATAAACTAGCAGACAAACCGCGCGGCGGTCCCTTAATGTTGTGATATTGTTATTCGACAAAATCTTTCGTTTAGGTGGACATTAGTATCATGAAAGTTTAGAAATAAATAAAAATTAGTGTATTTATTAAAAAAAAAAATGGATTAATTCAATTTGAATTCGAGAGACACCAATAGTGGTCCCCACCTTATCGAGACTGAGGCCCACAAGGGTAAACTCGTAGCATAACAAAAACGAGAAATGATTTAACTTGAAACGAAAGACTGAAAGTCGATAGTTGTATTAGGACGTTGAATTTTTTGGTTTGGCATTACTTAAACCATGTGATGATTTTCACCAGCCTTTATTTTTAAAACCATTCTATATCGCCTTTCGATTAGGGTTTAAAAACTTGTTCGAGCAATTTATCCAATAGTAATTGGCCCCTTTATCTCTTAAGCTTGCTCATGTAAAATATTTGGACTCCTTACTTCGCCTATTTATATTCTATTAATAAAGGACAGAAGGATGAGTATTGCAAATAAATTGGCTTTTAGTTCAGAATTATGTTCAGTACATGACATATTTATTTATAAAATAAAAATGACAGTACCATCGCATCAGATCTATTAGAAAAAATTCAATATAATTCGCAATATCACAACTATAATACAAGAAACCAATCTGACTTTCATGTACGGCAAGCCATCACTAAAAGTTCCCAAAATACAATTTTGGTTTAAAAAATTTAATAGAGTGCCTACAGAAATTAAAAAAAAAAACAATAAATGTATTCAAAAGTAACCTCAAACAATACTTGATAAATAAACAGAACGGATATACTTTCTTATGATAATAATCTTTAAACCTGCCCTTTTTAAGTATTTCCCTTAATTTATTGTTATTTTACCCCTAGTTTTACCCGCATTTATTATAAATTATTTGTTTTGAGAACTTGAGTACTTTATTTTAAAAAATTACTTGATGTTATATTAATACTACTTACTATGTTTAAATTATTAATAGTTTTGCGACGATAGGTTATAGCAACTTATAGCAACAAAACTATTTTTGTGTTAAAGTAGATCCATAGAGAGCAATGTAATTTACAAAGGCCTTCTTTCAACATACAAATAAATGATAACTTTATAATTAAAATGAAAAACACAACAAAATACCTCGGTACCAAGGTAAGAAGTTTCATTTTTAAATTTTATGAATTGAGGAAATTTATGACTAGGAGTTTACTAATTATTATTTACAATTCGCTGGTTGAATCTATTTTGCGATATGGTATAATGTGGACTATATGATATCGTATAATTAAAATTATCTACAAAAAAAATCAGCATTATATATATATATATTAAAAAAGTGCTTTGTATAAGAACATTATATTATCTGTCTTGCTCTACCTTTATTTATGGAAAGCCTGAATTGAGATACACTACAAATTATTTACAAAAAATATCAAAAGAAGCATACAAACATTTTTAAATAATTTGACATTTAAATGCCATTCACACATCACAGTTGACATCTTAATACTTGACACGCACAGCCAAGCATTATTCTGATTTTTGCCAAATAAAATGGCCGGTTAATTATTCTATGGGATTGCGACAGAGAGCCAGTAAATTTGATGAAGGTGTTTTTGTGGCTAGGTCCGAAATAGTAGTAAACTTTAGTTAGCACCACCATAAAAAAGTCATTTTTAAACTAGCAGGCTTGACGACTAATTTCGAATAAAAATAGCCTCCAAAATGGCTATGGTGGTTAAGTATGAAGGTCGCAACCCGCCTTAGAAATCTCACCTTTACTATCAGCAGCTGTTGTTTGACAGGTCGTTAGAGAATGTTTGCAATTTATGGAATGTTAGGCATGTAATAGCGGATTCGACTCAAATGCTCTTGCTCGATGATAAAGTGCTTTTAGTTCTGAATTGATTTTGGGCAGCATTAATACAATTCTTTATATCTAGCAGTGCACACAGCAAGCACGAGCTAGAGTTTGACATTGGTGTAGCGCATCTTTATCGTTATTCGACCAAAGTATATTAACCGTTAAGTAGCGACATAAAGCGTCGGTGTCTTTGATCTTGGGTGGTGCAAGTTTTCTTTCTCTCTCGTTTGACGTTATTGACGGAAGGACACACTAAAACACTGCTCGAATTATGAACTGGTCTTGAATGTGATGTTTACACTGCTCGACGTAATTTGAAGTAAAACTCTTTTGTAGTTTACATTTATAATAAAGGTTTGGTCATTAGGCAGTTTTATATTTATGAGTATTTAACTTATGTAGTAAATATAAAAATATATATCACTATTGATCAATTTCAATTTTTTTACCTACGTCCCGATGAGCTAGAGACTTAAAAGTTGGTAGGTACACAGGGTTTTGATTTTTGATAACAATAAAAATTATTACTTATGGACCTTCTTATATATTAATCGAGTTGTCTCAAACTTTAAATTTCGCGTTGTTTAAACATGTCGCTGAATACAATTTTTGACTAATAATGTGCCCCGTTACTCAAAACTTTTAATTCACGTTTAAAGTGTTTGACAGAGGTATCTGATTTGACAAGTTATTCATACAACAATATGGAAGTCAGTGTCAAATCTGATGACATTCCGTGTATCATTCTAATTTTTGATAAATCTTACTGTAAACTACGAAAGCGTAGAAGAATCACAGTGAAAAAAATATATAATTGACACTTGACAGTGATATCTGTCAATTTGTGCTAATTTTCACTTACATCTGTCAATTAGGTCTAATTCCCAGTTCTAGCTGTCAAAAATTGCACTAAAAAGTAAATTGAATGGACAGATCTTTATTTAATTAAACAAAAAGAATTAGTTCTTTTGTCAATGGCACATATATCTTTGAGATAGTGCAGAGATGATGGTTTTGGTTTAAATCAGGCAAGATTACTGGGTACCTACTTGAGTGCGTTAATTCGTTTACGAATATTTTTTTAGCAGTTATTTGTCAGGTTTACATATTGTTCACTTTTTAGTGCATATTTTTCCATGTTAGTGTGACGACCTTAATAAAATCGTTTATTTTAGAAGATTTTAATTATTTAATTTATTTGGTTCTAATTACATATCCCCGAAAAATTAATGAATTTTGGCATAATGAAAAACCCACAAAAACAATAAAAGAGAACAACAACGAATTCCTATATCAGCTGCTGGACTAAAGTGAAAGGGGTGTTTAAATCTTTAGAAGACGTCTCGCCTCTCTATTTCGCGTCGGCGCACTAGAATTCGGTTCCCCAGCTGTCGCTACTCAACGGTTAATATACTTTTGACTCGACTGGCACAGTCAGCATTTGACATTGCAGGTTTCTAGCAAATTTTTAACAATATTTATTTATTTATTTATTTATTTATTGTTACCAAACTAAAAATTAAATCTCTATTAATTTCAAGGATTTTCCATTTTCACTAATAATAAAGACAAAGATTGTAATATATTTAAAAATATTAAATAATTCCTAACCTCCAAAAGACACTGGCACTGAAACAAAGTACAGTTCCAAAAAATTCGAAATTTGAGCAAGAGCGCCTGCCAGTCGAACAAAAATTTTACTATGCCTTGGTACCGAGCAATTTCAGTCGAATGCAATAATTGAAACTTAATTAATTAGGTTCTGCCAGTCAAATCCACTATTAGACGTTAGAAATGATTGGAATTATTTTCTTCTTTTTTTTACTTTGGTGAATTTTTAGAGGTCTTGTAAAGATTTATTATTTTTTGAATCATAATAATGTATTGAATCATTCATACTCAGTGGCGGTTTGCCCGTAAGGGCACTTGGGCACCTGCCCTAGTATATTAAACCAAAAAAAAAAAATAACCTACATTTGTCTGCTAGTTTGTTTGCTAGCTTCAACCTCATTTTATCTAGTAACTTTTTTTGATTATTCTCAAAAACAAATATTAAAAAAAAAAAACAAAGGCCGTGCGTTCACTGGCCCCTGGAAGTTTATATTTTTGAAACAAATTTTCTTCTAATTTCGACTTAGAAAATATGGTCAATGGATAGGAAGGCACGATAAAGATTCAGAAAAGTTTAGAATTATATTTCTACATTTAATCATCCCCTAAAATAATTATAATGAGCCCCAAAAGTGAGAAAATTTAAAAAATACAATTTCCAAATTGAATTTTGACTTGGAAAAAATGGTCAATCCACTTAAGGATATAATAAAGATCCAAATTCGATTTAAAAATTGTATTTTTCAAAAAATCAAACTAGCGATATTATAAAAACTCTAACACCAGAACAAAGTTCAATAATAAAAATATAAACACCACCAAATAACAATAAAATATTAGATTTTTTTAAAAAAACTAATGTACGACCCCAAGTAAAATATTTTCTGTCAGCTCACTTTTTCATTCCTTGACTTCACTGCGTCCTTAGCAACCGTGATGAGGCCACCGTGTTGTTTACGAACCGTGGGTATACACTTAAGAGCAATCCAGTCCCTTCTGACGTCACACCGCACGAATATCACGACCTCTCCTTAAAGTATTTGGAACCTTGTTCGCTACATAAATTTGGCAATGTTGTGTGTCGTACGCTGAAGGGTCCGATTACAATTCAGGTAGGTATAATTCGTTGGCTATCGCCGCCTACTGGGGGTTAGTGGCTTGTTAATATACGAATGTAGGAATACTATTTTTAAACCAAACAACTCAAATATTTTTTTATTTATTGATAGTTATAGATGATATACAGGGTGTCCCGAAATT